AGATTGCAGTTGGATCAAATGCTATCTCTAGTAATCCACTTTTCATTGAGCCGCCTCGATCGCGGCGTTGCCTACCTATTCTATAATTTTCAATCAAATCAATTATTTCATTCAACGAATAATTAGGTAGGTATCTATACTTACTCGAATACTGAAAATAGGTATACATCGTGATTTACTTAGCCCGTGCATTAATAAGAAGTTTTTTAGGTTGCAAGTGGATTACTAGAGATAGCATTTGATCCAACTGCAATCTTATTCACGGGCTACGGTAACGGTAACGACAATAGCGACCTACCCGCCATGTTTTGTCAAAGGCCTATTTAAAACTTGCATTTAAAAACCGACCATTGTCATAAATATCTTCTATACAGTATACATACAGTAACTATAACGTCTATAACAGTAATTAAGTTCGCAGGTTTATGACAAAATAAAACTCCAGTTAATTTCATTTTTGCTATTGTGGCGACCACTGACCACGACAACGACAACGACAATCCAGTAATCTAGTATCCAGTACAAGCAGAGTCCGCGACTCGCGAGTTGACACGCCACCGGCCCACCGCCAGTTCCGGATCGCAACGGCAACGCCGCGATCGAGGCGGCTCAATGAAAAACAGATAATATATGCGCATGCGCGACGATTAATTAAAATATATCAGAAAACAATCTTAATTGATTAATTACTCCGGTATTATTGACTAACAAACGCTAAATTCGGTAAATTCGTGACCACCAAACGATTTCCGTTCGATTTGACTATAAATGGGCCAAAAAATAAATTAGAATCAGGTTATGTCGGCCAACGTCATATGAAATTTTTAATTGTTAATTACTGCCTAAGTAATTATCACCAAATATTAAAAGTGGGATACCAAAGACCACCAAACGACCACCAAACGATTGAGTATGGCGAATATTGAAAAATTAACATTTGGTCGGCCAAATACATGTTGCTCTATAACCGGTTCGTTTTTGCGAAAAAGAGGATAACAAACTTTATTAGGTGGGGGTAATTTTGACAGAACACCAGGGTTGCGTTTAGAAATAGCACTCTGGGTGTGGGAGTGACCCTAGAGTAACTCTTAACCGTTCATAAATTAACAGGTGTTTACTCGGAGTGTTACGCTGGAATCGTTCAGAAATCGAGAGTTGAAGTGCCCAGAGTGCACCCAAATTACCCCACTCAGGGACTGGGCCGAGATTCTAAAATCACGATTCGACACACGACTCGACAACGATACCGGCCTTGTCGTGTCGAAAGCTATAATTCCAATGAGATTTCTAACCTAGAATCGTCGGAAAAATTGTCTCGTTGTCGAATCGTATGTCGAATCGTGATTTTAGAATCCCCGACCTGGGTTGAAAAACGCCCCGCGTTTTTTATCGGGTTTGACGTTGACAATTTACCGCAACGCCCCAATACGTTCAGAAATAGCGCACCCAGAGTGCACTCCAAGTGATGACGTCAGAACACTCTGACAAAACAACTAGTCTACCTTCACACTCCATTTCTAAATGCACTCCAGTGGTGAGGGTAATGCCCGTACAGTTATAGCTCGTGATAACACAGTTACAAACGGTTACTCGTTAAAAATTCCTTAATTATTAACCGAAAATAACATTTATCATTTTGGAACGCATTTTTTTATTATTTGACAACTGTCAGAAAAACAGTCATTATCTACGAGGGCTTTTTCATAGATACTGATTATTTTAAATAAAATTAATTTTAACACTTTCTTGAATTCGTTTGTAGGAAGGTAATAGAGACAAACTATGTGTAAAAAATCCTCAGAAATCGATTTAATGTATCTTAAATATACCGTTCGCATCAAAACATTCTCCCACCCAATCTAGCCATATCCCGGAAATCTGACCAATCAAAAACGACGTGGCTATTTTGAGTGGCATAATGTTACTACATGCGCTGCATCAGGGGCCAGAACGTCGGGACGATGATGACGCTATTTGAAGGGTCAGAATGTTATTGCATGGGCTAGGTTCAGGGTCAGAATGTTACAGGCGATTATAGAGCATTAGTATTAAATTTAACAAACAATGTTTGATGTTAAAGAATCCATAACTGTCTTTTGTACGTGTTATACCATTCAGAAATTTAGACTTTATTTGTGTTCCCTATATATTTTTCCCATGAATATATTGATTAAATTGTTAGTTTTTTGATTGAAACGGAGGAATTAAAAAAAATAGGTATTCATTTTGGATATAGGGGTCAATAAATTTAGATTTTGCAAAATCTGAATACCTAATAATTAAAAATTTGAGTTCTAAATTTTTCAAAGACTTCACGTTTTTATACGATTTCCTTCCAGCTTTATTTAAAAAAGTTTCCCTTGCATTTTTCGTTTTATTTGAACTAAGCCTTGACATAAATCTTCTAGGGCAGTAGTGCCAAATTGTGTAAGATTTTTCTTCTTCAAATTAATAAGTGAGGCAAAAAAACTTTCTTAGTGTTTTCCTCTTATTGAAGGTCGCTAAATGATAAGGATTTTCAATATTATCATCACATATTAAACTATTATTTAGGTTAACAGTGGTAAAATTTTCAGGACCTTCATCCCCATATTCAGTCATGTTTCGATTTGCAACTGCAAATGGCGTATAAAACTCTTTTGACTGGACATTCTCTCCATAAGCTAGCTGAGCCAATAAATACCTTGAGTCGACACTATAGCTTGGAGTATTCGAAGATGCTTTTTGAAAATAATGTCCTTTTCGAATAACAAGTTGGCACGATAAGTGTTTTCACTCACACTAGAATAAACAAACGTTTTGGATAGTTTTATCGCATCCATCTCCATCATAAATGAATGTATTAAAAAATGTCTTCGCATAAATTTTAATAAAGCAATGAGCGAGAAATAAGCAAAATATGCGACACTTCTAAAGGACAAGTGCAACAGGCCCGACGTTCTGACCCCTGATCTAGCCCATGTAGTAACATTATGCCGCTCAAAATAGCCACGTCGTATTTGATTGGTCAGATTTCCGGGATATGGCTAGATTGGGTGGCAGAATGTTTTGATGCATACCGTTCCATTTGAAAATTTTAAGAAAAGTTGGAAACATTCAATTGTTTCCAAATATCGACCGATAGCGTCAGTCCTACTAACCAGAATTTGGACTTTTCACAACAAAATTGAAGCGCAGACTTTTGTCTTTCCAACGAACCTAAAATTGATCAGATTTGTTGAGTCGTTTTGAAGTTATCCGCTTTCTTGAGTTGCAATATTTGACAGCTCAAAACTGTCTTATCGGATAAGTTATGGTAAAAAGTAATGAATCAAAATTGTGTGAAATTTCATCAAAAATCCATTGCTAGCATTTTTAAGATACGTTTCCATTTGAAATTGCAAAAATAAAATCATTTTTGTACTTTGACAGTTGGGTTACGCCCCCTTGCGGTCATTTTAGGAAGCTGAAATATATTTTCAGCATTTTCTCTTGGCCATATTTATGGGAAATTTTTTTTCCGACAAGACTACGATGAATAGTTTTTGAGAAATGGCCGAGTGCCATTCTTAATGAATCACCCTGTACAGTAATAAGCACAAAAAGTGGGACACCCGACTGACAGGTCTTGACATTTTTCGCTATTTGCGTAAATTAGTCTTTTCTCTACAATCGATTTTTTGTCAAATATGACAATCCCTGTCATTGCCGTAGGTATAGCTGGTGAGCCCGTTTTACAATAGGAAAAGAAGAGGTGTCCCACTTTTTGTGTTCACGACTGTACGTGCTTTTTTAATTAAGGTAAAACACCTAATGCTAAATCTAAAGGACCCCGCACATTTCTTATGGAAAAGTGATCTATGTGGAATTTGGCTGAATTTTTGATATTGTGTAGAGGCAGTCGTCCTTAACAAAAGTTAACATTGCGCTAATGTTTAATACCGAACAGTTTTTAAGATATCAATTAAAAACTTTTTTAATATAATACTCTTAAGTATGACGTCACCAATATGCTTGCAGCACCGAAAATATTTATTATCCTTTCCACTTGCGACTTTGACTATACTCTTCTCGTTTCAACATAAGAAAAAAAAAAAAAACAACAACAGGTACAAATGAAATCGCTATATGAATGACATGACATGACATTGACGATTGCGGCAGGGCAGGAGCTAGGTGTTTACCTATCCAGGATAATACATAATACACTTGTTTACCTACTCATTCGTCACTAATCGCTATGGCTATCTTTTTCTATTTCTTAATGTTAAAAGGAGAAGAGTATAGTCAAAGCAAAAGTGGAAAGGATAGTAATCATTTTCGGTGCTGTGAGCATATAGGTGACGTCATACTGAAGAGTATTATATTAAAAAAGTTTTTAATTGATATCTCAAAAACTGTTCGCTATTAAACATTAGCGCAATGATAACTTTTGTTAAGCAGGACTCCCTCTACACAATATCAAAAATTCAGCAAAATTCCACATAGATCACTTTTCCATAAGAAATGTGCGGGGTCCTTTATTAATCCCTTATATCCAAAATGGAAATATTTCTCAATTCCTCCGTTTCAATCAAAAAACTAATAATTTAATCAATATATTCATGAAAAAAATCCATAGGGAACACGAATAAAATCTAAATTTCTGAATTGAAAAACACGTACAAAAGACAGCTATAGATTTTTCAATATCAAACATTGGTTCTTAAATTTAATACTAATGCTCTATCGCCGGTAACATTTTGACCCTGAATCTAGCCCATGCAATAACATTTTGACCCTTTAAATAGCTCCATCATCGTCCCGACATTCTGACCCCTGATTCAGCGCATGTAATAACATTATGCCACCCAAAATAGTCACATGGAATTTGATTGGTAAGGTTTCCGGGCTATGGCTAGATTGGGTGGCAGAATATTTTGATGCGTACCTACCGGTTTGAAATGATTTGACTCTCATAGTTTTACTTATTATAAACATCAAGCAAAATGAGACATTATTTCACAAATGATCGTACCTACCTGAAAAGTCATTTGCGAAGCAAAAATAAGCTTGTCACTTTCAAAAAGCCCTCTTGTGGTATATTGAAATACGGAAAACGATATACATTCAATCAGATTATTTACTCTAGCAGCTACAGTTTCTGCAGGCTCAGCTTTTGCTATAGCTTTCTGAAAGACTACGTTGAAAGCCTAGAAAAAACTAGAGAAATTAGATCCAAATCATTACACAGCGTGTAACAAACCTTCAATGAAAATTGATAGATAGGATTAATAGTGTTAAGCTCGTTTAAAATAAAATATAGTAAACTAGCTCTAGCAGCTGCGGGTCTATAATACTCTCTAGCCTGATCAATTTCAACAGAAGTAATCTTGGCTTCAGCTACTTTCAGCTCAATATCGGCTGCCGTTCTTTTAGTTGTCTCTAAGTTTTCCACCAAAGTCGTGTCACCTAATAAATTGCCCCCGGCAGACGACAAACGGGACAACAAATCATCCTCAAGACTTTTGAGCATTATTTTAAAGTCATTCTGTTGTTTCGTAAGGTCAGCTTTGAGTTCCTCCAAGTCGGGCCGTTCAGCTTTTACAACTTCAGCTAACAGCTGATCTTCCAGTCCATCTCTTGTCACTGTAAAATTGATTAGGGTCGCTTGAGCTTGCATTTCAGGCTTGTAGTGCGGATTTGCTAGTTTTGTGTGGAGGATTAATCTGAAGCTTGAATTGTATTCGATTTCTTTGTCGCCGATTTTGATTGCTCTGCAATATTACTTTGAAGCTATTCAAAAAAAGTGTAATTTTGCTAAAACATACTTTCCCTTTTTAATTAAATTTCTTCCCAAAAGTGTATCTAAAACAGGATCTACGGTTTCTTCGATATTTTCTACGAGTACAGTGGAACCTTGGCTAATGGATTTTTCTATTACATCTAAATATCCCTTCTGGCCTAATCTTATAACTTTAAGATCCTCGCCGTACTTTTCTTTAATCCATTTTATACCTTGCAGCTTTAAATTTAAATTATTCTTTGCTTTCTCACTAGTTGATAACTTACTTGTGGATCAATCATGAGAGGCCACCTATCTGAGTTAATCAAAATTGTAGCGTTTTCCGTAGACATCCTATCGCTCGGTAGTCCTTCGTTATTCCATTTTGCCACAATTGTATCGTCAGTTAAGAGAGATAGCGGATCTAGTTCTTCAGTTAGAGGAACTTTAGGCTGAAATTAATTAATGAGGTCAGTCAATGAAGTTGCCCCAAAGTGACAACTTACCTCCAATGTTTTAATATAAGGAAACCATAATTTATGCAGCAAATCTAATCTGTATTGCTTAGTGAAGCATCCTACATAAGATATAAAAGCTGTTGTCAATAAAACGTCCCCTGGCATCATTTTTCCATTTTCCATGAAGCTATAGAAAATAAATGTATTGAATGTTGAATGTTTCTTAAGTTGTCAGCAACATTAGATTCTGATAATGTTTCTTTTACAATGCATCTAAAAATTTTGACATTTCTTCAAAACATTTTGTGAGAATTTATCTTCAAACATATTAATGTTGCTGGCATCTTATTTTCATGAAATTCTACATACGTATTTACTGTTTCGGCCCAACGGACGTTTTCGCTAGCCAAACCGCCCACAAGCCGATTAGCTAAAGCTATAGTAGCGTTGGTCGCATCAGCTTCTTGTTGGCAAAGCAGTTTTTCCCTAGTAGCTTTTTCGAAATCCGCCGTTAGTTTGGCTAATTGAGATTCCAAAGACTACAAATTGATTAAATGTCAATATCAATTTATGGGCTGAAGCCAAAAATTCAACCCACCCAAAACATCTCCCAGCCTACAGAGAAACATTTTGGAAATACCTACCTTATTCTACAAATTTTCAATTTCTATCTTTCTCTTAAATAGTGCACCGCGGAATTTTCGAACTCTGGTGATTTGTGCTTAGAGACTTTGGGACACTCTGGACACCACCTAGGACACTTGTGCAACGTCTGGACAATTTTGGACAGGGTCAGGATAAGTCTGGAAAGTTCCTAGAAAAGTCTGGATAAGACCTGGAAAAGTCTGAAGAAGGTCAGAAAAGTCTGAATCGGTCTGGAAAAAATCTGGAAAATCTAGAAGGGTTCCAAAAAGACCAGGGGAGCATTTTCCAGATTCTGGAAATTTTCTGGAAAACCCCTCAAAACGCACCAGAAAGACAACCCAAACCTGATAAAGGTACAGAGATTGAACTGATATGCAACATTGCCAGGAAACAGGAAACACCGGCATTGAGCTTTATAGATGGAGAGGGCTCCAAAAAGAGAAGGGAGCGGGAGGAAAACCAATGAAAGGATTTAGAGCAACAAGAGCACCTAGCCAATACGCTTGGCTCAATCCCAAAGAGACCGACGTTAAGGAAAATGCCAGAGGTGGTCAAAGGGATCACAGAGAGAATAGAAGCAGAAAAACACTGCAAACTGGCCGAAACAATGCACGACATCCACGGCTCGCTGGAAAAGTCCATGGAGCAGATTGAGGAGGCAAGCGCCACGCCAAAAAACGCAGGTTCTAAGGGCATCTCAAGTAGTGAGGACGAGGCAAGCTACAGAACACCCAGCGGCAAAACAGATGGGAAAGAAAGGGACCTTCTAAAACGGCTTTCAGCACAGGAAGAAAAACAACAAAGAGTAGAAAACCTGAGATTGAGAATGGCAGATGAGGAACGACAACAAGCATTGGCAACACAAAACGAGAACAGAGAACAAATGAGACAAGAACAGATAGCAAGAGACAAACAAGGTCCAGAATGGTGGGACACACAGGAGACAAATAAGGGGGCAATGCACGCACTGACAGACGAGAGTATCAAAAGAGTACGGATCTGCGCCGAAAGCATCGTAAAAGCCACATCCAGATACTCGGGAGGCAAAGTTAGTTTCAAAATGGAAGACAAAGACGCCGTACATAAAGGCACTAACACGATTCTAAATGAGTTCCTAAACCTGGCGACCCGACTGGAAAGGGCCCAAGGAGAAGTCGTCAGGCAGCAAGAAAGGAACAGGTGGCTGATAGAACAAACCCAATCCAGAGAAAATGAGTGGCAAGCCCGCCTACATGCCACCAAAGAAATCAATACGCTGCGAAACGCGATCGGGGACCAAAATGGGACATGCACTGCCAACAAACTACAACATACACAAAATAAACCTGACAAAACAAAGAGAACCACCACATAGACTAACAGACAAGTTACCAGACAACAAGAGCCCCCAAGCGAACAACAAATTGTAAGGGAAACGGAGACCAACGGAGAGACTGACGCCAGCGACTGGACCAAAGTTAAACACAGAAAGAAGAAGAAGACTTACGTCGACATGGTCTTCATTGAGAAGTCGGGACAGGAGCGATTGGAGCGCAGCAATCAAGAACGCGGGAATGGCTGGGTTACGCCTGATACCAAGGAGAGCAACCCAGAATTCGAGGTCATTGTGAATGGAGCGGAGAACACCACCCAGGAACAGGCTCAGCAGAGATGCAGAAACGTACGTACCCTGTTGATCACAAACAGCGTCAGGGAAGTAAAGGCCATCAGAACAACCAGGCAGGGAGGCTCCATCATCTTAGCCAAAGATCAGGAGCAACAAAACAAAATAAAACAGCTATTACAGCAAGGATAGGTAGGGGAGATCAAAAGGGGGGTAAATCGCAGCAAAGTCCAATGTTGGAACTATCGGGCGTGGATAGAGGCCTGAAAGACGAAGAAGTCTCCAGCTTCCTACTCCTGGAAAACCCTGAATTCGGAGAACTAGCGCACATACGAGTGGTGCATAGAAAAACTTGCAGGAACCCGTACAAAGAGAATATATTGTCGCGGCTTTGTGTTGCCTGCTGACAGAAATCCTGGGTTCGTCGTTCGTTTCGTTTATTCCAAAAATCAAAGTCCAATTAACACAGCAATAATTTATTCCACTTAACAATACACTCTGACACTAATTACTTTAATAACTAACTCAACAGTTAAACTTTACAACTCGATAATCACTATTTAACTCGTATCACAGTCAAACTTTAACTTAACTTGCAAGCTAAAACCCGTCCTTATATATATCCCTAAATCTATTCCTGTAAAATCTAGAACACACACGATAATGTTATTTCTCGATTATAGTAGAATAATTCGCTAGATTCGAGTATTTTCATCGTCGATTCTTGACAGTCTGGCGGACGATATCGTGACACTGCCCTCCTCTTAAGGTTGATCGTCCCGATCAACTTCACGTCCATGATATTTCGCCAATCTGTCCAGATGTACAACTTTCATCTTACTCCTGGTGTTGCGCTGGACTCGATAAACAAAATCATTGATACTCTTGATTATTCTATAGGGTCATTCCCATGCTGAAGACAATTTCGGCGATATTCCTTTCTTCCTTGCTGGGTTATACAACCACACTAAATCACCTTCTTGAAATCCGACCGAATTGGCTTTCAAGTCGTATCTGGTCTTCATTCGGTCACTGGCTAGTTGAATATGCTCCCGAGCCAAATCATGGATACCCAGAAGTCGTGCCCTTACTTCGTCGGCATAATCTCGGATTTCTCTTCGTTCTTCTTCGGGTACTCCAAACATCAGATCGCAAGGTAACCTGAGTTCCCTTCCAAAAACAATTCTAACCGGACTTTCACCTGTTGAATCGTGAACAGCTGCTCTGTAAGCCATTAAAAATAGAGGCAAATGCTTGTCCCAATCTCGTTGGTTCTTTGCGACCACTTTTGTCAGGTGTTCCTCTATGGTCTTATTGAATCGTTCCACCATGCCATCAGATTGAGGGTGTAAAGGTGTTGTCCTTGTCTTACGAATGCCCATGATCTCACAAACTTTCTTAAAGATGGCAGATTCGAAGTTTCGTCCCTGGTCTGAATGTAACTCTAGTGGCACACCATGACGACTAAAAACTTCGTCCACTAGCACCTGGGTAACAGTGATGGCTTCTTGATTGGGAATAGCGAAAACTTCTGGCCATTTACTGAAGCAATCCATGATAACTAAGATGTATTTGTTACCACGCTCTGACTCTGGGAACGGTCCTGCTACATCTATCGCTATTCTCGCAAATGGAAGACCAACGTTGTACTGTTTCATGGGTCCCCGAGATCTCAGTTTGGGGCCTTTACTGGTAGCACAGATGTCGCATTTTCGGCACCAGCTTTTAACGTCTTCATGGTAGTGAACCCAGTAAAAACGTTCCCGAATTTTGTCCAAAGTCTTGTTAACTCCGAAATATGCCCCTGAGGTTCCGTCGTGTACTTCTTTTAATACATCTTCCACTCGGTCTTTCGGGATTACCAGTTAGCTCTTAGTAGATTTCCCCTCGGCACTTTCCCAAACTCTTTTGAGCAAACCATTTTCTACGGCCAGAGAGTTCCACTGGGACCACAATGCCTTGTAAATCAAGCTCTTGTTTGACACTTCTCTCCATTCTGGCCTACATTCATCATTTTCCTTAAGATGGAGAATCTGCCCGATGTCCTGGTCTGCTTCCTGATCTTCTCTCATTTGTTTCGTAGACCACTTGTCATCAACGATCAGGCCCGTTCTTCTCACAGATGGACTAGTGTTCTTCTCATGTGGGTTTCCAGGTCGATGTTTAGGACTAGCGTCTCTGGACCTCCAAAAGCTTTGGGAACGATCCCTAGATGGAGAGGTCATCCTTAGTCTACAATCCCATTGCATGTGTCCAAGCCTTTGACACCGGTAACATTTTACTCGGTTTCTTGGTGTTGGTGTTTGCTTGGAGTTGTTTTCCATTTGTCAAATTTCTAGTACTAGTTTCTTGATCTTTTCCGTGAACTTACTCATAAGATTCTTGAAGCTACCATCTTCTTTTGACGTTTGTTCATCCTTTGGGTCTTGAATGGTCACTGCTCGTATTCTGGGTGTTGAAGCACCAAAGATTGCTTCCAGTTCTAATGCTCGGACAAGGGCTTCGCTACTTTTCCTGAACTTGGACATTCTTAGGTCTTCCTGGATTTTGGAATCCCGGAGGCCATCAATAAACGTAGATACTGCCATCCATTCTTGTATGTCTTCCTCAGCTGCAGGAAACGCCAAACTCACTAGCCTTTTAACTTCCGATTCGAATTCTTGTAGACTCTTGCCGGGTTTTTGAACTCTTGATTTAACTTGAGTTCTGAATACTTCTTGTCTGTAATGATCTCCGAAGCGCAGTTCTAAAGTTTGACTCAGATGCTGGTAATTCTGTTGGTAGATTGACGGAATGGACTGAAGAAGATCTAAGGCTGGTCCTCGTAGTGCCACTATTAGTGCTGTAGCTTTTTCTTGGTCGTTCCATCCGTTGGTATTTGCAGCAGCTTCAAATTGTCGAATATACATGGTCCAGGACGTAGAACCGTCGAAAGTTGGTGGCTGCATCTTCATACTGGAAAATGCTCCAACACTAGCTGAATTGTTGGACTGTATTTCTAATCTACGCATCTTATCTTCGAGTGCTTGAACTTGGTCCTCAACTTCTTGTCTTAATTGCTGAACATCGGTTTTGACTTCAGCTTTTACTTCTTGAACGTCGTGTTTAACTTCTTGCACATCGTCTTTAACTTGTTCAATCTTCTGGTCTAGGTTAGCGACAGTTCCTTGTATGGTTTGGAATATTTTCTGTAGTCTTCCAAGGTCCTCCTGCCGTTCTTGTTGTCGCTTAGCTTCTTCTTGTTGTCGCCTAGCTTCTTCTTGTTGTCGCCTAGCTTCTTCTTGTTTTTCTTTTTGTCGTCTGGCCTCTTCTTGTTGTCGTCTAGCTTCTTCTTCTTGTTTTTCTTGTTGTCGTCTGGCTTCTTCGTCTTGTTTTTCTTGTTGTCTTCTAGCCTCTTCTTGTTGTCGTCTAGCTTCTTCGTCTTGTTTTTCTTGTAGTCGTCTGGCTTCTTCGTCTTGTTTTTCTTGTAGTCGTCTGGCTTCTTCGTCCTGTTTTTCTTGTTGTCTTCTAGCTTCTTCGTCTTGTTTTTCTTGTTGTCGTCTGGCTTCTTCGTCTTGTTCTTCTTGTAGTCGTCTAGCTTCTTCGTCTTGTTTTTCTTGTTGTCGTTTGATCTCTTGAAGTTCCAACATTTTGCGTAGGAGTTCTTCAACTTTTTGTTCGTCCATTTTGGCTTGTTGTCTTGTGATAGGCATATACAGAATGTTCTAGAATTTCCCTCGAACTTTCTTCAAATATCTTTTCTGGTCGATCTTTGCTCGAAGTTCCAAAAACGCCGGTGAAGTTACAAATTGGATAACTTGCTTTATTCTAGAATAGAATGTTCTGGAATTTTCTTGAAACTTCTTTTCTAGATGTCGATTGATACAGCAAACACGTCGGTGAAGTCACAATTTCGATATCTCCCTTGGTTTCCATATAGAATCTTCTAGAATTTTCCCGAAACTCCTCGAAAAACCTCTTCTGAATGACGATTGATGTTCCGAATACGTCGGCGAAGTCACAAATTCGATATCTCCCTTAGTTTCCAAATAGAATTTTCTAGAACTCACTCGAAGATTCACTATCACAGTCTAAATCGGGTATAGAGTCACTTCCGGGGTAATTCACACGATGGGTTAAGTCTCTTTTTGTGATTGTCACTGTTTGCACTGCACTAACTGTCCCAGTGTTTACTTAGTGTTCAGTTTTTATACTACACTAGTGTCCCCGCACTTCCGTAATTGGATTTCACTCTGCAGTCCTTTAAATCCCACTTCTGAAACCAATGTCGCGGCTTCGTGTTGCCTGCTGACAGAAGTCCTGGGTTCGTCGTTCATTTTGTTTATTCCAAAAATCAAAGTCCAATTAACACAGCAATAATTTATTCCACTTAACAATACACTCTGACACTAATTACTTTAATAACTAACTCAACAGTTAAACTTTACAACTCAATAATCACTATTTAACTAGTATCACAGTCAAACTTTAACTTAACTTGCAAGCTAAAACCCGTCCTTATATATATCTCTAAATCTATTCCTGTAAAATCTAGAACACACACGATAATGTTATTTCTCGATTATAGTAGAATAATTCGCTAGATTCGAGTATTTTCACCGTCGATTCTTGACAGTCTGGCGGACGATATCGTGACAATATAGTGTGCGAGGTGAGTACGGAGGTATTTAGGAAGGCTATGAAGTCGGGAAAAGTCAGGCTGGACCTGATGAGCGTGTACGTAGACGAGTACTCCGAACTGGTGATGTGCTACAACTGTTACCGGTTTGGGCATGTAGCAAGACACTGTCGAAAGCCACCGTCGTGCATGAGGTGTGGGGGAGCACATGAGAGGAAGCAGTGCGAAAGGGTGGAGATATATTGCCCAAATTGCGCCAGATTAACCAGCAGAATGGACGAGAGACACCACATGGTCTGGGACAAAGAATTTTGTAAATACAGACTGGGACATATTTAAAGTGCAGATAAGAACGCACACGGCTAAACATACATGGGGACAGAGGACCGAAGAACAACTGGAAGAAAACGCCGCAAGACTCCAGGAAGCATGCAGCAGAGTCTGCAAAGAATCCATCCACACTGAGATCGTGGAGGAGAACACCAGAGAGTGGTGGACGGACGAACTCCAAAGGGTCAGGCAAAAAACTAGAAAATGCAGAAGAGAATGGCAGAACGAACACAAACCGACAAGAAAACAGACGCTACAGAGGTATAGAGCCCTTCGCAGAGAATACAAGACAACAGTCAGGGAAGCCAGACATAAAGCTGTACAAAGGAATGAGAGGAAAAGGCCAATACGGAACCCTGGCAGAGACTCTGGAAGATGCTGGGAAAACGAAAAACTGACACCGTCACCGCAAACATCCAAAAGGAAGACGGAACATATAGAATGAGCGAAGAAGAGACTAATCAATACCTACTGACTAAGTACTTCCCAAAAAACGAGCCCGATCGAGATAGCGAGACCATGAAACAAAGAAGACAGAGACCCAAACATTACAGCAACAACGACAACGCAGAAAAAGACCTAAACAGAAAGGAACTACAAGACCTAATCGCCACACTACCGAAAAATAAAGTCACATGCGACAGGGTACCCAACGAGGCCATACCCTACATATTAGAGGCAATTCCAGAAATCCTTGTCGAAACCTACAAGAGCTGCCTAACCAGGAGTTACTTCCCGAAGGTCTGGAAAAAGGCGAAAATAGATTTGGTACCAAAGAAGGACGGTACGCTCAGACGTATCAGTCTGCTGTCTACTCTTGGAAAAATTTTGGACAAGGCAATAAACAAACAAAAAAGGGAGGGCACGGGTACAGTAGAGGCACTGCACAACCTCATGGGTATCCTAGACAGGAACATAGAAAATAGCACGCATCAAGTCATAATCTACCGAGACCTGAGAAATGCGTTCAACTCGGCATGGGGGCCCAATGTCAGTGAGGAGCTGGAGCTAGCCGAGACACCGGGAAATCTAAAGAGGATATGCGAGAGTTTGATGGAGCAGAGGACGGTCTCGGCAGGAAAAGTGGCAATAGATATGACACGGAGATGCCCCCAGGGCTCAAGTTTGGGTCCAACTCTATGGCTCCTGGTCATGCAGGGATGGTTTCGCAGAATGGACAGGGCAAACGAGGTATGGATGGACAACAATGAAGACAGTCTGGCCGATACGCAGGCGTATGCGGATGATCAGCTAATAGTCATCTCTGGATCGCTCGCAAGAATCAAGCAAAAATGGGAGGCTGTCTGGAAAGCCTACAAGGACTGGGAAGAAGTGAGCAACATCAGCTACAATAAACAAAAAACTGAGTTACCTACTGTTCATCCATAGAGACAAATATACAAGGACAACCAAGACTATTAGAGGGCCCAGAATAAAGATAAAGAGAGAGACCATTCCACTAAAAAAGCACGTTAAATACCTCGGACTTTCGATAGACAAAAACAGAAACTACCAGGAACGCATGAAGGAACTAAACACAAAGCAACAAAATTGGCAATGACAATGACTGGGTTTATACGGAGGAAATGGGGACTAATTATGAAGGACATCCTAGAAATGGTAGTGAAGGTGAAGCCACCATGCTGTACGCAAGTGAGATTTGGGGAGCAAAGGCCAACACGGCGATGGGACGCAGACAACTAGACGCAGCAGTAAGACCAATGCTGCTGGTTGTATGCAGGGCGTACTCAACAACCTCCAACGGGGCGCTACAGGTGCTAGCAGGCTTCCCTCCTCTATGGTTGGAAGCGGAGGAGAGGAGAAAAGACTGGGTAGACAATTATGCCGACATTTAGAGAATTAAAATACGTACGACAAACAAACCCCACACAGCTACAAAAGGGAGACTACACAACAAAACTAGTCGGAAATCTACGTGGATGCGAGCGTAGACCAAGTGGGGAGGACAGGCATAGGGCTCTCCATGGAACATGAAAACAGACTTATCAGAGAAAGGACAAGAGGACAGGACAACATCAGTATAGACAAAGCATAGATGCTAGCCATACTAAAAGGCGTACAGACCGGGATGGAAAGGGACATAAGGGCCATGACTATAATAACGGACAGAAAGCAGGCAGTAGAAAGGATTCTAGGGATCAAGACTAACGACAAAGTAATCGCCCACATACTAAAACTAGCCGAACAATGGCAAAAACATCCGCTTCCAGTGGAGAAGAGGCCATAATGCTGCAAACCCAGGGAACAGGGAGACAGACAGGGAAGCTAGGTCGGCAACAGACGCACAGGAAGTGGATGGAGAGCTCGACACATACCTACACAACGACAGACAAGCTCACAAATCAGAATACTGAACAGATGGCAGAACATATGGACAAGTAGCGACAAGGGACGGAAGCTCTTCAAGCATTGTGAGGAGTTTGGACTAGACAGGATCGATCTAAACTTCAAAGCGACACAACTGCTTACCGGTCACGGCAATTTCAACAACTACATTGCCAGATTTAACCTGCAAGACATTGACGCAAACTGCACGTGTAACGACATCCCAGAAGACGCAGAACATGTCAGGGAAGGGTGCTCTCTGGCCTACCGACAACAAATCCGGGAAAGGATAAGGGAGGAATATGCGGATCTGAGGATAAAACTGAGGGAGCGGAATCAGGCGACCGCAGATCAAGTGGCCAAAGCCAACAAATGGGCAGAAGAGGCAGTGGCAGATACAAACATACAAGAACTAGAGCAATAACAGACCAAATATGAACAAAACAGGGAATCAAATCAAATCAATCAAATCAAATATACAGCCATGAGTACAAAAAGTGGAACACATGTTTTTTCTTATTGTAAAACAGGGTCACCAGCTATACCTAGGGCAATAACATATGATTGTCATATTTGACAAAAAAATCATTGTAAAGAAAAGACTGATTTACCCACTTTTTGTGATCACGACTGTATTACCTAATTAAAAAAAAAAAAAAAATGGAGACCAAATAGAAAAAAAAATGAAAGAAAGGCTCCTACTCGCTAATTTGACCATGGTTGGCGTTGGGTTGTAGGGGTTTCTAGTTGCCGAAACAGGGTTCCTTCGACGGTGGTTCCTCTGGATATTGGGTACCTATACGAGCACCGAATCTGGACAATCAATAGATAATGCTGAAAGGCGGGAAGCTAAGTGGTTCGCCACACTCGAATGTAACCTGTATTTCAAAATGAGTGTTTTTTTTTTTTAAAGTGCCTTCAAGAGTTTTTGAGATAACAATTTGGCGCAGTCGGTAGGATCTGTCAACGCTGTCAGAACAAGAATATTCTAACTGATAGCGGCGGATTCTAATCCTTTAAACAGAAAACGAACGGAAGAATCCCAACTCGAAGTGAACACGACGAGAACACGACGATTCCATGGAGCCTATTCTTTGACTTGACTCTGCGGTAAAGGAATAGATGAATTTGCCAGAGAGAATGTTGGGGCGCTCTCTGACAAACTGGGCAAGAAGCCTTGTTTACTCCGCACGGTCGCGGAGCGCTTCTTTCTATCTACCAGGGCTTGGCGAACTGATATTCATTTTTTATGAAAAATGCGAAACTTATTTTCAGAAATTTCAGCTTCAAAACATCAAATAAATCATGAAATATATATCAGAGAATCCATACATTCGATTGGTTCAAAAGAAAACTCAACGCAGCGGGCTAGTGTATCTTTTGCGTGCAAGCAAGTAGAGATTCACACGTACAATCGCAACTTCAAATGATTTTGCGCACCAAACAAGTTTCGTATACGAACAAATTGATTCAACTTTTCGTGCACGCAGATATTTGCGATCGATTTCAAGTGAAGCCCCCCCTGACCAATAAGGACCAACTAATTTATAACCACTAGATGGGATATGTATGCAATCGCCAAACTCCGTGGATGGAAGGGTATCACACCCCATTTTTTAGATGTTTTGGGCAGATTAATTTAAAAAAATCCACTTACCGCCACTTTCCTCTTGATAGCATTAAGCTTCTCCTGGGCAGCCGCCAATTCGGCGTTAGCAGCTGCCAAAGCTTTCCTTTTGGGTTCCACATCGCAATAAACTTCGTAAAATTTAATTATATTGATTACCCAAGCACATAGGCCAGCTGCAGCTGCACTTTTTGATCGTACAAACTCGGGTTCAAATTCAGCATCTTTCAAATAAGGTTCTATGGCTTTCATAATCTCAGGATGTATGTTTTCTTTGTCGTAATTTATTAAAGCGTCGAGAAATGCGTCCACTTTTGCCATGACAATTTTGGCAGCTTTCCAGCTACGGTCTTTTGGTATTTTACCTGCTGGAGCTAGTAATACCATCACTGCTGCTGTGACATTGGTCACAACCCCAGGAGGTGAACCGAATGATTTTAGTTCGGTTAAGTTAGCTTTGTTTAAGGTGTTTAAAGCTTCTTGGGCGGCTAATAAAGCTGGTTCTGCTTTTAATAGATCTTCTTCGCAGTCTTTTTGCTTTTTACTGACTTCTTCTGCTATCATTGCTACTCTTTCTTCTTCTTCGTCGGCTAGTTTCTTTTCAATTGAAACCTTTTCAGTTTCGACCCCGACGATTTCAATAAGAGTATCTGCAGCGTCATTTTTTTCCTTCAGCTCAATTTCTTGGACTGCAAGTTTCTTTTTAAGCTCTTCCACTTGCTTGGACGTAGTCCTTAATTTATCCAAACCATTCTCCAACCTTTCGACTTTCAATGATAACCCTTTGGTTTGAAGTCTGAGTAATTTCGAATATAGATTGATTTGTTCCAAATAAGACTTAGGGGTCGTGTAATTGTATCTGCGTTCATTTTGGAGATAAATTTTTGATGTTGTATTAACAGAACTGTGAGCGTAAGCCATGAATCTGGCTGCAGTTTCGCGTAAGTTATCTGGGAGAACTTCAACTTCTTGTAAAAATCTTAAAGACACAGAAACAAGGGCCTCTTGCGGCCACTCATGGAACCAATTGATTTGTGTGCAATTTATTATTGCTGGAAATTTTCTTGAACGTACTCTCAATGTAGTACCTACTGGGGAAAAACATAAAACTAATTTTAATTGTTTTCTGACTCTATCTATAAAGAATTTCCAGCAATTTTCACGAGTATCGAGCATTCCAGCTCCTTTAACTTCATTTCTGACACCGGCAATAATATTTTCTACTTCATCATCCGGGAACATGTCTGGAACTTCGCCTGAGGCTAACATATCATTGATGAGTACCAAAAATTGTTCATTTGGAACTTGAGCATCCGTCATTAGAAACATTATTCCAACATTTTTCAAGCCTGATTTCAAATATAATGAAGAAAGTTCACTTTTCAAGTCAGAAACTCCATAACCTTTTTTCAGTTGGATTTGAGATACTTCTAAAGATGAGATAAATGCCGCCAATCGGGCTAATGATTGTTTTCCACTACCTCCAACTCCTACCAGCAAGGAACTGCCTCTAGGAGATTCTAAAATTCTATTAATTCTACAAACGTGCATCATTGCGTCTTCAAAAAGAACCAAATTCATTGCGGATACTAAATCATTGTAACTGGACATGGCTTCATTTAAAAGTTTATTTAACGTAGACCAGTTGTTGATTGGCATATATTTTGGCTCTCCAATACCTCCTGCGAAATGACAATATACGTTGGGCTTTTCAAAAACTAAAGATTCGTCGATTTCTTCGAAATTCTTTTTGAAAACGTCCATTTGGAGTTTGGAGAAGGCGTCGATGTCTTTTTCTTCGGTAAGTTTGTCACCGTATACTCGTTGACATTCGTGAAGCCAGAGTCTCACCAAGTCTGAGGGTTGATTTAGACAATCGTTGGTGCTAAATAAAAGCCCCTGAAAATGTATTTTTGTGAGTTAAGATTCTTATAAAACCTAGTGAGTAAATACGTCATTGACTGACATAATTTGGAAAATAAACTAAATTATAGGAAATGGTCTTTGATCCGGAACTATTTAGAATTAAGTTGCAACAAATTCTTTTGCTTCAATCAGAAGATGTAACTAGAATGTGTTTCATTTGCGGACGATTTTATTCTAATGGCGATGACACTATTCAATGCAAAATATGCGAAAGGTATATGCATTTACGCTGTGTGATATCATCTAACTCTTATGAAACATTAAATAATGGCAAAATCTGCCAAATGGGTTTTATATCACATGAAATTCCGTTTAAAGATCGCGAAATGAAGGACATAGTCTTGTTTGATGATTTCTTATACCATTTTGTGTCACATTTCAAATGTGACCTTGAAAACGTTATCAACAAAGAAACCGCTCATTATGAGATTATGCGTTTCAAGAAGACACAAAATTCAGAACACATCAAATGGGACTATTCTACGGCATACATTTCATTAGGGCAATCCGCCAAAATAAGAAATATCATAATATCATTATTCCCTTATGGAAATTATAATTACATTTGCCTTGTTTTGGTACCTTTTATAAGCTCCAAAATTTTTTATACATATTATGGGAGTCCAGAAAAAGATATGGTGCAAACGTTCATGGAGAGATTTAAAATTGAAACCGCTTCGCCCTATTTTTTGATGGATCTTGCGAAATACAAACTTGAATGCATTATGTGTGGTACAACATTTAATGCTTTACAAATTTGAAAAAAAAAAAAAATTGCTCTACCTAGAAGTTATATTTTAAGGAAGTTTTTGATGTTCGATCTGTGATTGTTTGAAGATGAGCATTTTTTTTATACATATTTCATAAGAATAGGCAGTAGCTAAAAAAATATGAGAATGGTGATTACCAGAAAGGAAATGAGACTAATTATCGTATATCGAAAAACACAAAAATAGTACCAACATAAATTTTTGGATGTTTATTAAGCAATTTTCACCGAAAATTTCCTTCAGGTAATATTTAGGTGGAAATACAGAGGCGTCTGGCAATTTTGGGCCAATAGGAAGCAAATTACAGCGATAATTTTGCACAAGTGCAAATTATCGATAATTTAATTTGCACTTGTGCTAATTGCCGATAATTTTTTTCAGATATTTTTTGCCTGACTCAACTAGTTATTATCAGCTTTGTACAGTGTGAATTAGACACAAATTATCAGCTTTCTATACAGTAGATTAAACTATTTCCGAATCGACGTTTGAGATCTCTTCGTATTGATCGGCGTAAGGTCTTCGATACTTTTATCAATATCATCTGCTGAACTCTTCCCAAAATGAGCCATATTTGCTTACAAATTCGAAATTATTTTTTGAATGAATTTTTTGACAAATTTGTTGATTGACAACATAGCAACATAATGATTGTTTTAAGCAAGGTCCCTAGTAAAATACTGCGAACAGGTATAACGATTCAGGAAATTTTCTTATAAAATATAACTCGTGCAATGAAAATATATCCATTATTTTTGAAAAATTTGCACTCGTGCGTTTTTAACTGCAAAAGGCACTCGTGCACTTCGTGCACTCGTGCTCTTTTTCAACTAAACATGCATTCGGGCAAATTTCCCAAAAATTATCGATAATTTTCATTGCACTTGTTATATTACTACTGAAAATATATACCTACTCTGTATACAAGTATAATTAAGAACTTGGATAAAATATTTATCTACTTATGTCATTAGGCCAAAAAGTGGTCTTTTTAGGCTTCGCTCAATTATAAAGAGCACATGTTTTCGAAAAGAATGATATATTTATGAGTTTTTTTAGGCTCTATCTCCATGTATTATGACTCTAAGTTGTTGAATTTTTTCTGGTATCGATGATAAATTAAGTGTATGTAGGTGTAACATGTAGCACTTTAGAATTATTGTTGATACTGGTTCATCTTCACGTGCAGAAATAACAGATGCCGGTATTTAGATAAATATGTAGGTGCTCCAATTATTTTTGTGCCTCTTTAGATAAGTCTGATTTATTATGATTTCCACTAATTTATCACTCTGATGACAACAAAATAACAATTATGAAATGCTTATACATATTATCTACTATCTAAGTTAATATTGAGGTAGATAGGTACCTGAATTTGTGATCGTGTGAATAGAATACTCCATATTAATATAATAAATTCCCGTTGTTGATACGTGAAGGCGTATCTCAAAAATTGACCAAAATGTGTTAGAGATACGCCAATAAACAAATTATTATGTCCTCTTCTTTAGGACGAAGAGGCGTTACGAGTTACTCAATCTAAAACCATTCAGATAGTATGGAACTATATGATTCAGCCCTAACTCAAATATAAAGAGAATATATTTTAACATATATACTCCAAGACAGTTAAAAAATCTTATATGGTTGATTGGGAACAAAATAACATGAAGCTGCGACTAGTCTCAATCGATAGGATTTATGGTCCTGATGAACATACTAAAAGTCCCCAGACCTCCTCCTAGAGGAACATTGTCAAAAGGGCGCCGCCATCTTGGATTTTTGATATTTTTTGCTTAATTTACGTTTTACTCAAAAACTACTCATTTTTCGAGAAAATATGAAGACAAAAAACCCTTTAAAAAAGGTATTTTTCATAGATATATAATAAAAGAGGAGACAGAACATCTCAATCAAAAATCATTATTTGTTTACAATCATACATAATGCCAGAGTTATGCAGGAGTTAGAAAAAGATGGGCTCAAAAAATGGCACCGCTGTAACCTGCCCCTCCATTTCCCGGGCTGCCTCTATCAGAGGCGTGCGGTTTTCCTAGATCATGAAAAATTAAGAATACAAATGTTTTTCAAAATATTTTTGAATGATGAAATCTCCTAAAATAATATTATGTCGCATATTATTATTTCTTTCATTTATTTATGTTTTTAAAAAAACTTTATAATAAATTAGTATTTGCTTAATGTCCTCTAAATATACAATTAACCACACCACTGCTTGGCTAAAAAAAACATAAACTGACGTACCGTCGAAATACAAATCCAGGGTTAAAAAAGGCAATTTTTTTCACAGATCACGCAATGGCGAAACATTGTAGTTGCTAATAAAATATAAAAGACGGAAAAAACACTGAAAATTGATTGAAAATCGAAAATATTCCCAAACACAGCACAGCAACACTGGATAGTCAATTTTTGACATAAAATTACTGAACGTGTCAAATCCCATGTCACTGGAGTAAACAGCGTTGCCACAGCTATTTCCCTAATACATTATAAATTTGCGTTATTCAGAAACTTAATAATTTTTATAGTAGAAATTACAGATTTTATTTGGAAAAAAGCACATTCATATGTGTAGTTACATTTTCAATTGAGATGACACAAATAATGCATGCAAAATGATCAACATTCCCTACGTTTTCAAACACAGACGGTAAATCTAGGGCAATCCGCAGAAATTCGCCAACATTGATTTTTGGAGAAAACAATGTTTGATCGGGATAAAATGTAAACAGTTCAGTCTCTCTTTTATTATATGTCTATGGTATTTTTGGACTTCCTTACTGAGATAGGAGCCAAAGAATTACTGTCAAAAAACAATTTTTTGCCTAATTTTCATTTTACTCATAAATCACTCACTTTTCAAGAAATATAAAGAGACGTTAATCGAAGAATTAAATCTTAGGTGCATAGGTATCACCGAACATCCGCGGTAGTACCCTTACCAAGATAGGAGCCGATGGAGTACCGCCGACATAGAATTTACTTATTTTGCTTTTTTTTTTTTTTTTTATTTGTCAAACACATTGTGCTTATTACATTACAATCTAGTCAGTAAGACTAATTAGCAATTTTGTTTCAACCTAATTTACTACAAAAGTTTACAATTCTTGAGGTTCACTCAACAGTTTTCCCCACTTTGCTTAAACTGTAAATCACAATTTTGATGTGTTTATAGCACTGTTTTGTTGTGTTTTTCAATTTCAGTTCACTAGCTCGAACGGCTTCACCCTTCTCAGTCTTCTAACTAGCTCAGTATTGTCTAGGAGCTCAATCACTTCCACATTCACATGCCGATGTAGTCTATCTTCATGGCTTTTTGCGTACTTTCTTATAGTCTCTGTTACAGTATCAATTCCTAGTTCCCGATGTAGATCTCTATTTCGAACGTACCAAGGTGCATTAACAATGTTTCTTAGTACTTTATTTTGGAATCTTTGAATAACTTGTATGTTACTATCTTTAGTGCAACCCCAAAGTTGAATTCCATATGCCCATACTGGTTTCAGTATTTGCCTATAAAGTAGTAACTTGTTATGTATGGTTAAATTGGACGTCCTTCCAATTAACCAGTACATTTTTCTATACTTAAATTCAAGCTCTTGCCTTTTTTTCTTAACATGTGCTTTCCAGCGCAATTTCGCATCAAGCGTCATACCAAGATATTTAGCTTGATTTGAATATGGTATAGGGGTGTCATTAATTGTGATTTGTATGTGATTTACGTTTTTGTTTGTAAAATCAACGTGAATTGATTTGGTTTCATTCAATTTTATTCGCCATTTTTTGGTCCAATTTTGAACTTCACTGACAGCGTTCTGCAGTTTTTCTGTTGATTGTTCAATACTTTTTTCCACTGTAATTAAACTAGTATCGTCGGCGAATGTTGCTAAATGACAATTTTCTCGTTTTGGGATGTCGCATGTAAATAATAAATATAAGTAGGGACCTAGCACGCTACCCTGAGGTACACCTGCTTTTATTTTTCGTAAATTTGACTCAAAATCTTCCTGTTTGACTCTGAAATGTCTATCACACATATATGATTCCAAAATATCAGAATATTGTTTTGGCAGAAACAGCTTTAGTTTATAGTCTAAGCCTTCATGCCAAACTTTGTCAAATGCTTGCGCTACATCGAGGAAAACTGGGGAACAGACTTTTCCCTCTTCCAGCGAT